CTGGTGGTTAAGCTGAGCCCTCGTGGAGCTGCAGCTGCACTGTAGTTAGTGGGCTGATTTCTCTTCTACAGTAGTGGAGGCTTGGGGAGGGTGCAGCTCAGTGGCAGACCATGTGCTGAGCATGCACGAGGCCCTGGGTTCAATCCCCAGTACCTCCATATAAATAAATACCTAATTAACACCCCCAACAAAAAAAATAAAATAAAAAATAAATAATAAAGTAGAGTAGTGGAGGCTACTCTAGGAGAAAGGCAGGGCGGTGGAGTAGTTGTTGGGGTTTGGAAAGAGGCACAGATTGAAGGGTGTGAAGAAATATACCAGAGCCACGCCCACAGAATGGACTGACTATAAAGAAGTTAATATAAGGAGCAAGAGATAATTTCAAACCCTTCTCATTCATATTTTTAATAAGAGTCAACGGTTTAGTGCATTGATAAATAAAAGCAATTTACTATGTAAAAGGAACAACAAAATAAACATAACAAAAAAGGAGTTCTTGGAGATAAAAACATGGCTGCCAATACTAAAGATCTCAGTGGGAGAAATAAAAAAAAAGAATGTAATCACTGCTGAAATGAAAATGAGAAAATGCTTCATTTTCTCTGGCCTGATGACCAGACAGTGAAGACCCCTAACCAACAAGCCTTGCCCAGGTACACTGGAGTGACCCGTCAACGTCACAGAACTTCCTCCAGAAGAAGAAGCTCCTCCAGAAGTTACAGCACAAAGACAGTAATGGACATTATGAGAAAAAAGAAAAAGATACAGATGTTCTAGGGCTGAAAATGGAGTTAACGATCAATCATGCCTACACGATGAAGCCTCTATAAAAATCCCCAAAGTGTGGGGTTTCGAGAGCTTCTGGGTTGGTGAACATGCGGAGGTGCTGGGAGGAGGTGTGCCCCTTCCCACACACCTTGCCCTCGGCATCCTTTCCATCTGATACCCATCTGTATCCTTTAATAAGCTACATAAAAGTCAGAGTTCAAAGTTTAAGTGTTTCCCTGAGTTCTGTGAGCTACTCCAACAAATTAATCAAATCCAAGGAGAGGGTCCTTGGAGCCTCCCATCTATAGAACTGGTTGGTCAGAAGTACAGGTGACAACATGGGCTTGCGACTTGGGTCTGAAGAGGGTGGTGGGCAGTCTTTTGGGTCCGAGCCCTCAACCGGTGAGACCTGAGCTATCTCTGGGTAGACAGTGTCAGAAATGAGTTGAATTGCAGGACACCTAGCTGGTGTTCTGGAGAATTGCTTGGTGGAGGGAAAAAAAAAAACTCCACATGTTTGGTGACCAGAAGTGTCAGAAGTGAAGTGTTCTCAGAGAAGGTAAAGGAGACAGGGGGAGGAAAGACATAGTAGGAAAGAACTGGATCTTTCCCTACATAGGAAGGAAAAGACTGAATATTTTCCTTTACAAAAGAGATGAACAAGGCTATTATAGACCAAAGCAAGTAAAAAGAAAACAGCGATGGCAATATCAATATCAGGCAAAGCAGAACTCGAACAGAAACACTCACGCTTGTGAGATACTTTATAAAGCCAAATCATATAATATGCCAAGAAGATA